TATGCTTAAGCTTTCGAATTCAATGAAGAGCTCTTCAGTTTAGGGCACAATGTTTCGAAGAAAATACAGAGATATTTCTTTGTGTTAATTTACAGCTCTCAAACTTGATTAGCTGTAGAAAAAATAGTAAGGCGTAATATCAAACAAGAGTGAAACACCGTATTACAAATCTAACTCCGACAGTACGATACGAAGAACAATGAACAGGCAACTGAATGAAGTCATTTCCCAAATCCAAAACTGGAGGCTTTCATTCGATCATGAATTCAAACGGTAAGCGAGAAATTAACAGTGCTATACGTCCAGTGGACAAATCTTCCGAAGAATGTTTCTGCTAACAGTCTGACAAGAGAACATATTCTCTTGCAGTATGGTTGTTTCAAGCGAACCTGGGATTTCCAGAGGATCGGAGAAAAGTTCCATGAAATGGAGACTTTTTTTTACCATTTACTAAAGAACAGTAAATAGGCGAAAAAGAAATCACAAATCCAAATCTGATCTAAAGAATCGTTTCGATTCCCTGCTTTGGAATAATCTCATGTTACATATATTAGTGGCAAGCATATCTACTCTAGCTAGTGGATAAGCGTTATCCATTCAACGTTCAATTTTGTTTACTTGATACATGAATGACCATGGACAGTAGAGGTTTATACGAGTAACGCTAGATGAAACACTTTGCAAACATCGAGGAGTAATCATGGCAAGTAGCGAATCACCGCCGCCGTATCTAGTGCGAACGTGAGTCATAAAAGTAAAAATTTTAATAGGGTAATAAACTCTGAACCATCAAAACCAACAGTATGGTAAACGGTCAGGCAAACGGTTATAACGGTGGAAGTGAATGATAAATTCGAAATAGTAAATTTAAAGAAAATTGATATCTACAACTACTGATTATTAACACGACCAATAAAATAATAACAAAAAATTGTGTTCAACACAGCGACACATAAAAGTTCCTTAATCAAAAGCAATTGACGTGTAGAGTAATATGGCGATTTGATACCAAGCTTTTATCATTCATTTTTACAGCTCGACAAGCTTGTTAATTTATCGAGCTACAAAACCAAAATCTACTTTTTCAAAATTATTTGTCGCTCATTTACAGAGAAAACTTAATGAATATGTTTCACAAATATAATGGTTCTTTATACAGGGGAACCCAAGGACGGTTCCTTCTAAATACATTAAAACTGAACACGTTTTGGGCTATTCAGAGTACTGCATTCTAAGCGGGGCTATGAAAATTTGTGTATCTGTTCGCTCACCGTAGGGGAACTTGAGCCTTTTTGAAATTACAAGGGCTTCAGTATTGTTTTCCCGAAAATTTAAGAGGCAATTTCACGTATTACAAAAATGGGAATTTTTCTGATTCCTATCTCCGTGATATTTTTCTATCCGAATAGGTTTCCTGTTTTCTACGAAAGATAGCCTAACCTAGGAAGTGAAATGTGAAAAAGTAAACTTCAGAAAACCGTGGGGAATTTATTAGATAACCTTTCGAAAACTGTGCATGAATGCAACGTTCACCTAGAAAATTTTAGCCGTCCTAAGGACAGAAAATTCTAGGCAACATTTGCTTCTCCGAACAGATATTTTAAAGAAAGCAGTCGTTGGGTACCCCTGTTTACATCACACTCTTCGTACAGCTTAAAGCCGAACTTGTTTCTTAAAAGCAAAAACTGACACCATAAGTGAGCTAAGGATTTTGAAAATACAGAAACTGTTTGTTTTCTGAGAGGACTTATTTAGTGCGTCTGAAGAAATGAAAAAAGTAAAGCAATTTCTTGACCTCTGATGAGGCACGAAGCATGAATTGCTACACGCCACAGTTGGTTAATGATAGAGCGAGTGTGTAAGAACACTAAAGTTAACTGGTTACACTGAGATTATTTACTGGTTGGAATTAGAATTGACCAGAATGGACAGTGGCCACTAGGACGGATAAAGAGGATAACAATGTACCACTCTTTCTATTCGAGGTCAGTTTAGGGAAATAATTTCTGTAAGTGATACGATCTCGCGATATCTCACACTGCAACTTTCTTCCAATTGTACAGTTACACGTTGGGTTATACATGAATAATCGCACTGGATTAAAAAAACCAAGATCAACATCAATTTATTTCTGTATTTTTTTTCCTGCCGGTTACAAAGATGTTGTAAGAAAAAAATGTGTACAGTAGTTCCAAAATTATGCAGAGACGCTTAATTCATCGGGCGCATCGATTACTTAGCAGCCTAATACTTCTGCAAGCCAATGAAATTGTTTAATTGAAATTAGAATACATACGTAGGTTGTTTAGTGAGCATGTTTTGACGAGAAAGCTATTCAAACAAGGTTCGAAATTCTATGATTCAATCCCTAGCAGAGTGTTAGTATGTAAAGTGCTCGAGGCTTTCAATGTTTCTTTATTTCTTTTTTCTTCCAGTTCTCATAACTTTCATGAAGACAGATCACCAGATAAAGAATGAAAACATAATCAGGCAAACAAGGTAAATCATATATACGCCACGCGTTCTCTTATCTCCTCTGGCCCATAGTAATTTTGGTTATTTCTAAAACGTATTCCAAGTACACGGTCACTGAGAGAGTAGCAATGACTCTTCAATATATAATGCACAAAACGATTTGAGTGGGTAAAACTGTCAATAAGCAGCATTTAAGAATCATTTATCATGGTAAAAAAAGAAAGGATTTTCAGAGTCCAATGATAGTATAAAACATGATTCATGGTAAGCGTTTTTGTCAAACAATTCTGAATGTAGTTCAGAATGATTGCAACATTGCTTATTTGGATCTACTGTTGTGTTGACCTCCACAAAGAGAAATTTTCAAATTTGGAAGTGGATGAATTCTGTGCTCTATTCTGGATACAGAAATGAACGACGGAAGAACTTCCGATAATTATAATAAGTTATAATTCTTTTTCTCTAGTTTTTCTGTAACTTCTAATTGTACTTCGCTTGGGTTTGCAGTAGTATAGTGTAAAAAAATCCTAATTTAAACAAAAACAGATTATGCTAAGACTCAGTATTGCAACCTGTCCTCGGTTTGATATTTTTTACACTGCCCAAAAAGGTGATGAGCTGACGGCCATGCATTTTTCTGAAGCTACAACACCGGTACAAAAGATTACCCTGCTGTTAAAGGATAAAGTTGAACTATACCAAGGAATAGAAGCTGATAGATCTTACACGTAAGAAAATTTTAATAAAATAATAATACTTAATGATGTTATGGCTGGTGGATTCTCGACCATGGAACAAAAGCATGATCTGCATGCACAGAAATTCAGTTCCTGAAAAACACATAACACGAATTTCCTCAAGTTAAGCCAAAAGAACCAATCCAGATGCTCGACGTCTTTTAGTCGTGACATGTAATGACTGGGTCATGATTTCGTTAAAACTTGTTTTAAAAACGTGAAAAGTTAAGTAATTATTGCAAGAGTGGAAATAAATTAACCGGTAACAATAATCAATGCTATCATTTGGATTTGGCAATCGTAAAACGAAGGTAAGTTAACTTCAAAAGACGCTGTAACAGTCATCGAGATTTCATTGCATTATATTCAAACCGTTCATTTTTCCAAGGCATATCTTACATATAAAGTATTTTATTATTCATTCAAAATATTTTTCAGTTCTGAACGTACCTCCTGGTAGATTTTTTTCCAAACCTATCGGCCCATTTCTCAGTACGGTACAGGCCCGGGTTCCTAGAAAGCCGGTTAGCGGTAATCGAGGATTAAATCTCGCTAATCGCAGAATACATTTTGTCCCACGATTTGATCCTGTTCCTGAAAGAATGATTAACCTTAATCTAGGAATAAACTGAGTGTTAATTTTAATCCACGTAGCGAGGTAGATTAAGTCACTAATCGGGGGAAAACGTTTGTAAAACAAACAAATGGCGGACTTACCGTTGCCTCAAATACGTGAAAAAAAGTTCCGACAGCAAGAAATTGATCTCGACCAATTCACTGATGAAGAGCTTTTCAGTAAAAACAGGTTTGGCCGAGAGTCAATTCAATATTTGGCAGAAATCCTCAAGAACGACCTCGAAAGAAAGACGAGGAGAAAACATAAGCAGTTGCCAGGGTGGTTACTACTTCACATAATAAATTTGGTCATTATAAAACATGGACTGTGGACTCTGGATTGAATATAGGGACTATGTTATAAAAACTGGGCCAATTATTTGTAGGTAGATGAAGAATTTCGGTTTCCTCTTCTTCTCCTTTGGTTCAACCTAGACAACTTCATTTTCCGCCATTTTCCTTTACTTCACCCGTGCCTAAACATTTTTCGCGCCATAGTTTTTAAAAGCAATCATCCCAAAAACTAGTTAAACCGGTTTATTTTAACACTAATCTCGGATTAGTTAATTGTGGGTTTATTTCGCTTTCAGGAACTCCTTTTTAACCCCCGATTAGTTATCCGAGGAAAAAGAAAATTAATCGTGGATTTGATGCTAATCGGAGGATAGTTTAATCGGCTTTCCAGGAACCGGGGCCAGATGTTTATCCTTGCAGATACTAGTAAAAAAGTAGATAAAAATCATCGGGCGATATGTTTAGCGCATTCTTCTATTACTTTCGTTAAGATTTAGTTAGAAATCAGCTATTTTGTTTTTGGATAGCCTTGAAAGGCATTTCTTTCTTTTAGTTCACTCGTGAATAAACAGCTTGGCGGCTTGACGATGGTCTAGCCCAAGCAGCCTTTTTTCCAATATAATACCAAACATGGTTATGAAGTGGTTATGAAGAATTATTGGTATTATTTTTCTTTTTTGTGGGGGGGGGGCGGTGATTAGAGCCTTTAGCCTCGGTACATAACATCCTATTCGATCTGCATAATTCTTAACATCCTGCTCAGCCTCATTCAATACTTGCTCAGTGTTAATCATATTCATTGAGTTTTCCTTTGACCTACTCACGATACTTCATATCATGATCAAACTTTAATTCCAGTGCACAAGTTAGAGGTCCTTGATGATGCGATCACAAGTTAAAGTGACCACCATGTTGCTTGTGCTGATTTTTTCGCTCACTGGTCTCTGTTCTGCTAAGGACAAAAAACCACCAGACACCAAGGTAACTGCATTGATACATATATCAGATATTACCACTACACATTTTTTTTATTACAGTCAAATAATGTTACTTTGTAGAGATAACTAGGAATGACCCAAATGTTAATTTAACTAAATCTGTCTGCAGGTTGATTAAGAAGACTACCAAATTCAGACAAAAAATAAGATGGTGTGATTACTTGCAAAACCTGAGAGAGAACATTTTCACGTTTAAACAATCAAAATTAACATTTTTACAAATTATGAAACAGCTTCTTTACTGTAAAATAAATTTCTTCTTACAAAAGCACAATTGGCGATTTCGTTTGAAAAAAAAAAAAAAAAAAAACTTGGAAAGTTAAGGAACTACTTCCTCTCCTGAATTGAAACGCTAGATGACAGTTAAAATTATGAAGAGCTACTAGCAGTTTGTCACTGACTTTTTCTATTTTTGGCAGCCTGTTCAATCCTGTCCATCCTGTAATAATGGCGGACAAACCGGGATGTGGACATACATGACATGCATCCCAGGAGCCCCTGGGGCACCTGGTCGAGATGGAGCCAAAGGAGACCTGGGCAGCTCAGGGAAAACTGGGACCCAGGGACCACGTGGTGCTGATGGAAAGAAAGGAGCAAAGGGAGAGCCTGGGATCCAGGGTTCCGCCGGTAGAAAAGGAGAGCGAGGAGACAAAGGCGACAATGGAACGCCACGACTGGCTTCACACATGAACTGGAAAGAGTGTGCTTGGAAAAAGGCAGACGGCACTGATTCAGGACTGATATATGTAAGTACGGAGCGTCACTTTGTTACCCGAGTTAAACAATATTCTATTAGCTCAAAGCAATTTATATTTACTGAAATGATTGACTGCTATAATTCTGAAGTCAGTGCGCAGTCAGCAGTGATGATGACTGCTTCTTTTGAAGCTACGTAGTTTTCTATTAAAGCCGGGCCATAATCTGTTTCATATTACACTGTGTCCTTAGAACTCCATTCTTAATTTTTTTGCTAATCTTATGTACATGAATTTGTTTTTGTTCAAACACCTTGTGTTAATTAAAATTTTACAACTGATGTATTGTTTTTTATAGACTGGAGTAAAAAAAGTACAATACTATACGGATCCTGTTTCTTTATATCTCGTTTAGAACTGTGACTTTGTGAAAAAATACCCGGACACTTCCCTCCATGTCTACTACGCTGGTAACCTCAGGATTCACGGATGTGACGACTGCTGTAATCGCTGGTATTTCACCTTTAATGGAGCCGAGTGCAGCTCTCCTGGAACTATTGACGGTGCATTCTACATGGCAAGAGGCAGAAACCACAATCTTCACCGTCACCGCCACATTGAAGGTCACTGCAATAACATTCAGAAAGGAAAGGTGCGAGTGGGATTCTCGGTTGGAAAATGCGTCGCAGTACAGAAGCTTGCTGACGCCTGGACTGGTTGGCATTCAATGAATCGTATCTTTATTGAGGAAGTGCCGAAAGCTCAGCAGTAAGCACGTGTCACATGATGAGCTGCACTTTTTAAAATAGAAGCGTACTAGACTTGTGTTATGTCTTGACTGGGTTATGAGATGTGTAAAGCAAAGTTTGCTATCAAGTCTGTATCAGCTAAAAATAAATTCCAAGAGCATCTACTGTTGTTTTCAATTGGTTTAATGTTATACTTGCCTCACTCATTTTCTCTATTGAGTCTTAACAACACAGTACCTTTCGTGGGATTATAAACTGCCTTTCCCTTCAACTCCCTAATTCGTCTATCTTTAAGGGGTCAACACCACCATTATATCAGGTCAATATATGAGGTGAAATTGAGACTAAGTGTCCTTGGTCATCTTTTACTTCTTTTCTCATACTTGGAACTCTAAAAAATATATAATATATCTGAAGATTTTTTCAAGGGGAAAACGACAAAGCATGATTATTATTTTTGCCACTTTAATTTTTCGACAGTACAATAATTTAGGTAAAGGTATCCGCTTTAATCCTGGCTTTATTAAAGGTACGATCGTAGCAGTTGTGATAGCAACTACAGTAGATTAAAGCAATGCAATTTTAAATGAACTATCACAACTGCGACGATCATTATGTTCATTTTTAAAATTTTTGTACTTCTTCAATTTAAATTATCATGACGTTATGATGAAAATCATATATGAGAACTGAGGGGTGAAGAATTATATGAATTATATGATACGATGATCATCCTTCATATAATTCCTCACCCCGCAGTTCTCATATATGATTTTCATATATCAATAACGTCATCAGCATTCTTTCACGGGTTTATAACGAACCAATTCAACGACCTGCTCCCACTTGGCTAGTAAGCTCATTTGGTAAAGCGCTGCACCGGTATCGCAGAGGTCAAGGGTTCGTATCCCTTACAAGCCTGATTTTTTTTTCAGGCTTTCTTTTGGCAGCTGCAAACGTTGCGTCTATAACTGCGATGATCTTCTTTCATATAATTCAAATCATTATCTTCATTAGTATCCTAATAAGGTCCATACCCAAGAAGTAGCTCAGAAGCGTTTGTCATCTATAGACTAAATGTATTCTTCGCTACGTTTGAGCTCGCACTTCAACCTTTAATGGCGAAGCACTATTCACTGCGGAATATGTGGGTTTGGGAGGGCCAAACACTGTTGGCAAAAGCAAATATGTAGATCTGTAAGAGCACTGAGATATAGCCTTAAAACACAAAAGAAAATTAATGTTGATCTTACATCGCATCGTACATAGTTGAACAAAGTTCTATGCCTGAATAATAGTTTTGTCTCATTTGCTGATTTTTAATCTATTTCGTAGAGTAAAAAGGAAGCGAGCTATGTTTAAACTACAAAAAGGAACTATGGATATAAAGGATATGAATAATTTGGGCGCTAGCTTATTTGTACCCCCCACACATCCACTCCCGCCCGCCTCCTTCACCCCCTTAGCTGTATCCTGTATAACACCAATATTATTTGCATTCAATAACGAAGTACACTCCAGTTTCACGAAATAACAGTTGTTAGTGGCGTATCCGGTACGAACGGCCAGAGAGCTCACAACACCTCTTGCATTTTGTTGGAACACATGACCATGAGCTAGTTGGCTGCGCTAATGTATAAGCCCAGCAGACATTAGCAACCTTGCGTTAGTGCTTCAGTGTTCTGCCATTTGAGCTATGAAGACCCATACGTTGGGAGCAGGTCAATTTGTTGAGTTCATCTTAACCCATGAAGAAGGATCTTCAAGTTTCAGAAGTTCTTGATCAAAGCTCAATCGTCATTGAACATCATACACCACAACCATGTTGATCTGCTGGAGAGAACGATATTAATAAACAGTCCCCACTCAAGTGGCAAGGATAGTCACAAATGCCACTGATTTTATTACCTTTAGATGATAAAAGGTACCCTGGGTGCCAGAGACTTTTCTAGCGCGGTTTCCGGTTTCTGTCAAGTCTTTATAGTGATCCGCGCGAAAAGCCTCTGGAGCGGAGCGTTATTGCCTTGATGGCGCCGATCCAATCGTTAGCACGGTTAAATCAGTTGGTCCAGATTTTGGGCAAGACGGCTGATTGGCAACAGACGCTACAATTGGTTGACAAGAATAGACCAGCACGTGAAAGAATATTTCCAACTGTGCTGTTGACATCACTGAAGGTTTGGAAAGGACATTGAAGAAAAGTATAAGCAATGTACTAGAAAGGTTTGACGGTGTAGAGAAGCTAAGTGATGAGCAAACAAGTAGGGTATTTAATTTTATTCAACGCAAGGACGTTCTGGCTGTCTTGCCAACCGGTTCCGGTAAATTGTCGTTGTTTCAGCTTATTCCGGGACTTTGTCTACGTCTTAACCAAATGGGATACTGCAACTATCCCAAAAGTGCAATTGTGATTGTTGTTTGTCCGTTGAACGCCCTTATCGAATGCCATATGAAGGAGTTACGACAGCGGGGAATTTCGTGTACTTGTTTATCCGGAGATGATGCCGACCAAGATGGCGCACTCGCTGGGAAATACGCGTTCGTCTTTGCAAACCCAAAGGCGCTTATCCTGAACGAAAAATGGAGGAAGATGCTTCAGTCGCCCATCTATCAAAGCAACCTGTTTGGGATTGTTGCCAATGAAGCCCATGTTATTCATAAATGGTATGTTGACGAGTGTTGTTGTGTTTTGAATTTAATTAAGCTTTTAATTATCACATTCAACTTTTGCGACAATACGATTTGAGCTTTACTAATTTCCTATTTCAAACGTTTACAATATGTTTTGAAATAAGTTGTATTGATGGATTAGGAATATAAACACAAAACATGTGTATTGCAGGGAAAATTTGCTTGAATTGAACTTGTTTTCATCGATTGTCTTGGCAGACAATGATTTTGTAGTAAGGGACTTATCTATTGTGAAAAATTTTCCTGGTATTTAAATAAGGTCTTTTTATCAATAAAGGAGACCATTATTTTTGTTTACTTCTCCCTTTTTTTCTGTTTCTTCTCTTTTATTCATGTATTTGGAGAGTTTCCCTGTTTTATCATTGATTAGCCCTACTCAACACTCATAAAGAACATGTTTTGAGGTCTCGACAACGTTAATCCTGAACAATCCCTTTTTTTAATTTACCAGGGGCTATGATAGCAAAGAAAAGCAACAAGCCTTTCGTGCATGTTTTGGACGGTTGGGTGAGCTTCGTTCACTAGCTCCAGACAAAACTCCAGTAATGCCACTTATAGCAACAGCAACCAGAGACAAGGCAGCAAATCATTAACGGTCTGAATTCGAAGGACAACCTACACCTGATTGTTGCAAGCCCAAATAGGTCGAACATTTATTTGTATGTTGCTAAAGTAAACAAAAACTTGTCTGAGACATTCGGTTGGCTGGTTGAAATGTTGATAGTTGAAAAACAGGCTTGCCCAAGAACTTTGGTTTATTGCAAGACTACCAAGGAATGTGGACAAGTATTTAGTTTTTTTAAAATGGAGCTAAAAGAAAATGCTTATGTCAACAGTGATCACAAGTCTGACAACATGTTGATTGGTATGGTTCACCACAACACCCTTGACAAACATAAAGGTAGAGTTACCACCTCACTCTATAAACCTTCTGGAACCTGCAGAGTGGTGTTTGCTACAAATGCTCTTGGTATGGTAATTAACTTCAAGGACATTGCTTATGTTATTCACTATAGGCCTCCTCGTAATATTGAAGAATTTCTCCCAGAAATTGGTCGTGCTGGCCGCGATGGCAGGAAGGCAGTTTCAGCATTATTTTACCAAGGGAAAAATTTGCGGAAATGCGAGAAGGCAGTAAAAAGGTATGCCAAGGAAAGCACCTGTTTTCGAAACCTTTTAATGTCAGAATTTGAAGAACTTAACAACACTGTGGGAGATCATAGCTGTTGCTTGTCATGCCATTTGAAGTGTCTGTGCAGTGACACAAAGTGCAACATTGACATACCGTTTACTCACCACATTTGTCACGTGAGGGGGTCCTCCAAAGAGTCTTTCAAGAAAAGGAAGACTACCCTTCAACAGAGGGTACTGCTTGAAGAATTGTTGAGGGACAGGCAAAGGGAACTCTCTTCTAAGTGCTTAGTCTATTACCTGTCTCCTGAGTGTACAACTGGATTTAGTGATAATCTGATTAAGTTAGTGCTGTCTCATTGTTAGTACATTTTTAATGTGAATTACATAATGGAGAATTTGCCTGTTTTCAAAAAAGAGAATGCTTGTGACATCCTCCATATGGTTAGAGATTCTTTTGAAGATTTGAAATTAATGATGAGACACTGACATGCAATGACAATTAAGAACTTGTTTTTTCTGAGACATTTGACCTTGAATATGGTGGAATCTATAGCAACAGTGAAGGCAGTGACAGTGACTTTTTCACAGATTCTGAGTTGTAGTAATAACTTACTTATGTCATTTATCGTCTTGAAGTCGTTATCTAACTCCCATTAGTGCAGACATCGTTGGGATCATAATTTATATCCTTGAGAGCATTTATGTCTTTTGTCAGGCACCTAGTCATTGTCTGTTGTGTACAGACAGGGTGTCAACAAGGTGGGAGTTGACCTGATTTTACTATTGCAGTAAGCGACTTAAGGCAGTAAACCATTCAAGTAAACCATTCCGCAGTTTGAAAGGTACACTATCTATTTCAATAAAAATAGAGCAATGTGTCGATTTTGAAAACAAGTATGATATACATTCATAATAGAAAAGAACTTCCAGAAGACTAAAAAACTTAATGGGGCATAACATAGCAAAAATTCATTGTCTTAAAGTTTGTATAATGCACCAAAATATTAATGTTTTTCATTGTTACCATGCACTGAATTACTGACTTGGAAATTCTGGGTTACCTTACATGTGTAACTCCTGTGTCTTCATGCTCGTTAATTTTAAAATTTTCTGCCTCTTGCCTTAGTTCATAGAAATTTAAACAGCAATTTTACAAGGTTTTGACAGTCTGACAAAAACACAAAAGCATCGCCCACAATCCTTTCAGTTTCTATGGGTTGTTTTCATTAAGAAATATTGGACATACTTTTGATCCTGCTAGCCCTGTCAATCAAACCAACACAGTTAAGTAAACACCATCTATTCATGTACAGATTTCATTTTCAGCTTTTGCCTCAAATCACTCCTGCTGCCACGATCGGGTAGTAGTAGGAGTGATTTGTGCCAAATAATTCAAGGGCATCGAGTAAGCTACAACTGAAGGAAAACCTTTTTTTTAAAAACAGCAAGGTATTTTGTATTCTAAGACGTAGAGCATCAGAAATGTATCAAACTGTCTTGAAATAAACATGCTTGAGAATAGATTGTTCTCTCCCCTTTTTCTCCTCTGAATCAAGGGGTTCATTTGTAATACGCCACTTGCACTAAGAAGTCACGTGACCAATGTTTCCTTTCAGCAATGACTTGGAATCTTGCTGATGCCAAAAATTGACAGAGCACAGAAAAATTATCTTACACCCGAAATTTGAGAGGAAACACATTTAAGGGAGATATTTTATGGCAATTTGAGTTTTTGAACAACAAAGTAGTAGTATTTATATTGGCTGCCATGTGGGAGGGCATACTCTTGCTCTCCAACATGGCAGCCGAAACTACTTTTTCCTTATATCTTGTTAAAATTTTAACCCTTTTAGTCCCAATAGTGACCAACATCAATTTTCTCCTGACAATATGCGTACATTGTCAAGAGATTAGGTTATGCGAATGAATGAAATGATTACCAAAGAGAAAATGCGTTGATCTGTAAACAAATTCTCTCAACTCATTCTTTAACGATATGTATGGAGACCAGTTTGGAGAATTTGTTTTTGGATATTGGGACTTAAAGGGTTAGTAGTTATGCTCAGTATTCTGTAAACGTTACCACATCACGTTTTCAACATTTTCCTTTAAGTTCAAGTGCAAGATTGGTGTTCAGAAAGAGGTAATTCATAATTTTAAAAATCACCTTTTGGTCATGTGACCAGCTACGAACTTACCCATTTTAAGAAAATGGTGCAGGTCTGAAAAACCAAATCACTATTATTTTGTGTAAGATATCACCCACTAATCGTTTTTCGACGGCAAAATCATGTAAATATTATTTTCATAAAAACAATGTCACATGACCTCTTAGTGCAAATGGCCTATTCAAACAGTTCATTCCAACAAAGCCCTTCACTGTTGAAGACGGGACATGTCTTTCTTCTGACTGTTCAACCACTTGTTAAGCTGATTGAAGTCAAGCCCACTTAAGAAGTTCCTTTGAAAATCTGGAAATTTTTCGTAGTTATGATCAGAAGATGGGTTGAAAGAGAAAAGCCCCCCTCTTTCATGGATTTCTTTCACAAGGGCTGCAAAATCTTGGTCATCATTTGCTGTGATGTGGTGCCCAGAAGGCTCCTTGACACCTAACTCTACATCAATCTTGTGCAGCATTTCTTCAAATATTGACATCGCTTCACTGCATCGTTTAGCTGATTTTTCCGTCACATTGACACCAAGACACCTTAGCATCTCCTCCAAGAGATTATTTAAGTGTTCTAACCTCAAGTCCAAAGAGATATTTCGGCCTTTACCACCATGGTTGCTTACAGTTCGGTTCCAAACTAACAAATGTGACATTCTCTCTGATAATAAGCATGAAGTGTAGAAAAACAATTGCAAAGAAGCAAAAGCATACTTTGTATGTTTGTAGGCTCTGAATATCAAGAGCATGAACTTCCAGCATCTTAACATGCGAACACCAGGAATCCTGTCACAAATTACCCGTGCAAACAGGGGAAGGAAGTCATGAAGTAGATCTTCATTATCTTGGTACGATGGCAAGATGTCCCAGTTCTCCACTTGATCAACTAATTTGATTGATCACTTTTCAGACAATCCAGCACCACTCACTCTGTCCTTCACGGCATTCAGGTGAAACCAATGAATACTTTTGTTAGGTTTGTCACTAGCCTAATGTCTGACTTTAATCGTAAGATTGACATTATCTCCAATGATTTGATAACCCAGTGGTCTCTCTGAGTCAGACTGCTGCATTAGCATTGACAGTGTCTCCATACCTGTGTTGCTAACAAGCTCTGTCTGTGTAGTTTTCTTGATCAGGGTTTCGACTTCCGAATAAATGTTTTCATCAAATATAAAATTTTTTTCTTGCCCAAGCTTGTCTTCAACTGCCTTTTTAAGGTTCCTGTCATTTGTGGGCTCAACTGTGGGAACTGTTTCTTCAACACACTCCTTTATCGTTGCCAGTGTGGCAGTAAACCTTTTGTGGTACTCTTGCTGAACCTTCCAGTTTAGGACTTTCTCATCAAACCTTTTCCCCACTTGTTCTATTTTCTCGATTATCGATGTATGGCCAACTGTCACACCCCACTTGACACCACGGTTGTATACCTAAAAGAAAAAATATCAGTTTTAAATTTTAAGTGAACATTTTCTATCAAGAAAATCCATTAGAAGACAATCTGTGGTGAAATGTCTTGCCAAGAGATTGACTTCAACGAATAGTGCACTCACTTTTTTACATGTACATGTATGTTTATCAACTTTATTTGATCAAGACAATGAAAGTTCTCTTAAGGTATCAGCCACCCTTAAAATTACCATTTTTCCATATTTGAGGTTTCAACGTTTTCAAATAGATATGCTTGAGAGCTTTCTTTAAAAAAAAAAATCAGAAGAAAATATTATTTCTGTCCAAAGATAGCGGGGTAAAAGATTTTTTCTCGTTAATTATCTTAATTGATCGTTGACAAGATCTGTCATACCCGTGTCATATATCAATTAACTTGCCTGTGAACGAGTGCGTACTTCGACAGAACACGTGCGAATTGTCTTCGCGTTGTTTATAGCCTTTAGTATTCTCCGTGGATATTTAGCGTTTGCTTCGGTGAAAATGCCGCCAAAAAAAAAGAAAAGGTTGTGTCCGTTTTCGTCATCGAAACCGAGAGCGAAAAAGAAATCGAAGAACGAGTTTGACAAAGAATGGGCCGCAAAATTGGCAGAGAGCGACAAAGGCTCATTTTATCAGCAAGAGAAGTGGCTCGAGGAGTTGGATATTCAGAAAACCGAAAATGCTGCAGTTGCTGAGAGTGCAAGCCGCTCCAAAATCCAGCTTGAAGAGCCAGATGAAGAAAGCCAGTTAAGCTCATCGACCCCATCTGCTGATGGAACCCCGGGGGGGGTACTTCCATATATGGGCTATATGGGTATGTGCCGCTGTGAAGGGTATGGTTTTCAAGCAGTTTACTCTAGGATAGGTTATATAAATCAGAGCGTTTGGGTCTAGAATAGGGTATCATTTTTCAGGAAACTGATCACTTGGTTGAAGATTTTATCTAGACTGGGGAAACAGCTACTCTAGGATAGGGGGATTTTGAAAGTTTACTCTAGTATAGGGTAGCAAAATTCAGCTGAACTAGCTCTGGTATAGGTCAAGGGTTCCAGGGTCCCAGCGGCACATCCCCACCCAGAAATTCCTAAAGTGCCCCCCCCGGGGATGGAACGCGGAAAACAATAAGCGGTCCAGCTATCGTATCGACCGAGAGAAACGGCTTGAGAAACTGGACGAGTCTGTATCTTGTCGATTTTGCCAGGGAAGAGTCCAAGTCATGGAAAATGTAGCGACTAAGCATGGACTTGGTTCTACCTGGAGAATCCAGTGCGAGAATGAAAGCTGTCCGTCGCACAAGACAAATTCTGTTCTTAATTCTTCCGAGAAGAGCAGAGCGTTTGAAATAAACCGGGCCTCAGTTCTTGGCCTTCGAGCAATCGGTGGTGGACATTCGGCGGCTTCAAAGTTTTTTAGTTTCCGTGGCCTGGCGCCGATCAACAAAAACGCCTGGGCGGATCATGCAAAAAAGATCGAAGGAGAGGCAAACCTTTTGCTCGAGAAAGAATTAAACCGTGCTTCTCGTGGTGTGAGAGTGGAAGTTTTCCTGTTACATCTTACCTGTCAAAGTCCCATTGTTAGAGAAAATTGATCCCTCTCTGATATCAATCAGAATAAACATTTAGGTGTTATAATCTCATTCCAGGTAGGATGCCGCCAAAAATGTATTTTTTATTTTATCTCCGAACGCAAATTTTGCCGATCGACTCGTACGTTTTGAACTCCAAGTCGGCAGCCTTTCAATCAATTTGCCTAAAACTTGGCCAGAGTGATGCCATATATCTCTTCTACAAAACCGTGTCTGCGAATTTTAATACTCCTTTTCATTTTAAAGCCAGAGCTTTTTTTCCACAGGGAGTGTTGACTAATTGCCTTCCCTAACTTCATTTGCTAATAAAAGAAAAACAAACGCACTTGTCAAAAATCTGAGATACGGTTTTTTGGTGGAACGTGTTGAGAAGCGAATGCGGTGTTAATTGTTTTCTTCCGTTTATTTCCGGCGGGAGTGGAACATGATTTATACAGACGTGTACTTTTGCACAAAGCGTTCCAATTTCGAAACACATTTAAGTAAATCGTTTTTGTTAGTTCAAATCCATAATCTGGAATTATTAAGCTTTTAAAAAATATATGGTTTATAGGGGTTTTTATAAAACCAACTAACGCTACAGCGATCCGCGCGCGGACGGTCCTGAAGGGTGGCTGATACCTTAACGAATTATTTAAAAGTCTGATTCAAGTTCCAAACGGGGAAAAATAATTGTATGTACTGGTATAGACTGTAGGAGTCAGACTTCGTATATGTCACTAACTGACATCTAGATCATTTTGAACTCACTTGCTTTTTGGCTCCACTGTAACATAATACTGTGGAAAATCTGTATGCCTGAGCACTCATTTGTGGGCATCTCTTCTTCAGAAGGATGGAGGCTACCATACTTATCGCTGGTGCAGCTGCGTTACTCTCATCATTGGTTTCATTTTCTCCATTCTGATTTCTTGCTTTACTAATAACAGGCTTTCCAACAGCAGAAGACAGTATCGTGTAAAGTACAGGAGCTCGCTCAGAAAGTTCAGTGACATGTGCACTCTCTGTGAACTGCTTCAATCCTTCGGGTGTGGTATTGCGCAATATGGAACGCTTCTTCACTGAACATAAATCTTTGCATTCTTCAATAACAGAACTGCAAACTTTTTCCAGTAATGCATCTCTAACAACTTTCTTTGAATAGAGAGTATTAAAAGCGTAGCCATACTCCCCCAAAACAAGTTGTTTAATTGCTTTCCTGTCCACAACATCTTTAGGAAGACGGCGTTTGCCACCACTTGGGTAGTTTAAGATGACCTAAATTGACAAAAGATGGCTTATAAATAATTTTTCTGCAACTGTTTGAATCTACAAGTATACCTGTGTGACTTTTTTTTTAGATATTAAAAGATAAAAGCTTTTACTTTAAATTTCTTATACATAATATTTGATAGCATTATTTCGTAAATAAATTACAGATCACAGCCACATTACAAGAAAAAAAGAACCTTTAAAAAATTTTTAACCGTCTTGACATCAGAACAACAGTATAAAAGTTAAAAGTTTTAACGTACGCGTGTTTAAATGCAGGTATTACTCTGTGTGTGCATTAATTTTAGAAAGCGGAAAAACCATCAGGGACAGCTTTCGAAAACGGATACTAAGAGGAAAAGGCTAATTTAAAATTGCAAATACTCCCTCGAGGAAACCTTTTCATACGCATTATCGACGGAATCGCCGGTTTCCCCACCGGTCCGCATCTTGAATGATGGCGATCGATAAAAAGACAAAATTACCTCTATATCTGCTGGATGAAGAGTAAGCTCCATAATGTCATCTGCCACGTTATTTGGTGTTGCATTGTTGGCAGGGTGGGGAGGAATGTCGAGAGCTCTTCTAATATTTTTACCAGAAGATCCGGGCACAACGCTTGTTACAGAACTTGACGGACCCCGCAACTTTTTCACGCCAAAACCAGGCGAACATGAGCAACACTTGGATCTCGCCTCCTCTCCTTCCTCCTTCCACAGTAACAAATTTTCAATATATAGAGACTTGAAGGACGACAACTCTTTCAGCGTAACCTCAAAGCTTTCAATGCGCCGAAAGCACTTCTTGCAAAGAACACGCGGCCCAACAGACAGGTTTTCTTCAACACCGAATAAAGAAGAAATTCTCGAACAAATACTTAACTTTTCGGCAGTATCAGATGTCAGGCTGTAATAACCACCATTAGCAACAATTGCCCCACAAAGATAGATAGATAACATAGGACTTTTGTGACTTAGCTATAGGCTGAAGTAGGCTATCAACGAATGATGATATTTGTTCGGTGGGTCCTTCGTTTCCTGCCACTATAGGTCGACCAACAGGAGTTGGCTTATGTATCCTTGTGAGAGTGTAGAAGACAGGTATTCTGGGTGGGTTAGGTGTCTGTGATAACCATTTAACAGTCATTTCGTGAATAAAACTTCCCTGATGTAGTTCTTCGACTATTTGTTTCACTTTTTGGAAAGTTGCCCCTGCCATGGGGTCTTCAAGGGGTGTGTAGTTGTTTCCATCGTCTAATAGGGTCTGCCCCTCTTGTGTTTTATCTAGTTTGTTCATTTTGACTGTGGTAGTACCTTTATACGCTTTCTTGACGTTTATTTCAGAGTTGTTTTTTAGCTCTCTGACAGCTTTTCTCTCATTTAGCGGTAGGTTGGGTATAGCTTTGTTTATCGTTGTGTGCGCGAGTTGTATTTTAATTTCTTCTAGATAGCTCTCTAGGGTGACAGACTGCTGAACTGGTGGTTCCCAGTTTGACTTAACGTAGAAGGGGTGGATGTTTTTGTCCTTGCCGTGATATATAAACTGGAGCCGCATTCTCCAAGCAAAATCTTTGAAGTCTGTAAGGAGTTGTTTTCTTAACGCAGTTTCGTTTGTTGTAGGCGTAGGGACAAATTTTAATCCACGAGAGAGTAGATTTATCTGATCATTTGTAAGTTCTAGATCGGAGAGGTTCTTTATGTATTTTCTATTAGATTCTGTTTTCATAGCTCTAATATCTTTGCGGGTTTTCTTTCGTCTTTCTGTGTGTTTTTTGTTCTTAAATTTGCGCTTTCTAATCCCGTGGTCCTTCTTATTACTAGACCCTGACTCAGAGACCACACTAGTGTAAGTTTCAGCAATTTTATTGTTTGCCTCTTTAAGGTCGTACAACATTGCATGCACTTCTTCAAGGCGTTTCTATAGGTTAGCTGTTATAGCTTTCAAACTTTCTGGAATGTTACATGAGTCAGATTGACTTTTGCCTGCTTTAACTGATGTATTCTTATTACAAGATTTGGCTTTTTGCAATTATGCCTGGTTGCGGTCGATGCGACGGTTGTGAAACCTAATGAGCGCTCCTAGAAATTTCCCCTCAGCCTCCCTTCGGATAGCTTTAATGTCGGACTTAAAGTCCTCGTCTGGAAAATTTTCGCTTTTGCGTTGTAACGCAAGTCCTGCGGACAAGTGTCGTTTTCCATGTGTCTTTTCAGTTTAATGACTGATTGTTCGGAGCTCTCTATTTTGTCTTTCATGCGAGAGATGTCATCGCGATCGGAGGCGGTGCGGCGTGGACTTTTTCTAAAAGGGCTTCTTTCGGGAACTCCTCTCCTTGCTTGGAATGTGGGTTCGTTGGCAGGCTGTTTTCCTTTGCTGGCTCTGCTTGTTCAGCTTTGCTGCTGGCGGCTGCGTCTGTTCTTGTTGTCGTGTCTTCGCTTTTGGTTATAACGCCCCGGTGGTGGACTGCGTTGGCCGCTCACTATATCGCCGTTTGAGTCTAATAGAGAGTCATCCTCTGCTATGGAGTTCAATTGTTCATCGTCTACTGAGACGTCACCGTCAAACATCTCTTGCAGGTTTTTCTCTGAGTTTTCACTCATAGTAAGGTTCTAAGAAGTGGTTTCTTAAGCAAGACTGCAGTTTCGGAACTATAGCGTTCCTCGTGAGTTGCTAGTATGGTAAAGTCTTAGGCGTGTAGAGCGAAAATGGCTGTATAAATACTGGTGGCTAGGATCGAAAATACTGGCTTGCCATTGGCTGGTGGAAAAGCAACCAATAGCGTAATTGTAGCTTTGATCCACGTTGTTTTGTGCTTTCTTTAAGGTCAAAAAAGCTAGTTTATGGGTGAACGGGAGTGATAGTATCTCACTGGATAGTAGTGATGCAAAGTCACGAGCGTTTCCTAGTGTCTGAGAGAGTTTGAGATAAACTTTCCCCATAGATTAGGAGTATTTTCTCGTACACCTCTCAAAATTACCCGAGTACATTTCTGTTGATGAGGTTTATTCCCACGAGTTATGTGGATATCAGTTCCTCTCCCAGCCAAGCCTTTCCAATGCTGGGGGAGTTGCTTTCTACATAAACAATAATTTAAATTTTAACATAAGACCTGAATTTACAACCACTGTTGATGATTTTGAAGCCTTATGGATTGAGGTGCATAATAATTCTCATTCAAATTTATTGTGTGGAATAATTTATAGGCATCCAAATGGTGACTTAGAAAGGTTTATTGAATATGTGAGCTCCACAGCTGATAGAATTAATCGAGAAAACAAAACCTGTATAATCATGGGAGACTTTAACATAGATCTTTTAAAATTTGAATCACACTCAGCAACTGATGGTTTCCTTAATACTCTGGGTTCTAGTTTTTTTCAGCCCTATATACTGCAACCAACGAGAATCACAGATCATTCAGCAACTTTAATTGATAATATTTTTTTAAATTCAATTGAGCATTTTACAGTCAGTGGTAACATAGTGCATGATCTCTCTGATCACCTACCTAATTTTCTAATTTTTAATAAATTTTCATCACTTCCTTGCAATGTTAAAATATTCAAAAGAGATTACTCAAAATTTGATCAGCAGGCCCTAATCAGTGAGATTCAATTAGTTGACTGGGAAACTACTTTTGTACCCAATGACAGTGCATGCAATATGTTTAAATCTTTTTACTCTAAAATATCTAGCATAATCAACAA